AAATTCTTTGTTCGATGCACAGGTGATATCATTAAGTACATGACTTTTGACAGCAGTCATATGAATAAATACATTAACTTGAATCTTGTTGTGGATATCATAGCTGAGATGAAAATCAGTATCACACAATAAGATCAGTCAATAGGACTTATACGTGACCTCCAAAAGGTCACACATCATGGTATTTTCTGGGGGTACAATAAACTATCAATGAAAATTTCTCAATGAGCCCTCTCCGTCCCATAAACTCATTTAAACATGACAAATATTGATGTATAATACATTGGAAACTATTGCTGTTAATGAGACAACAGTACCCACAGTGTGAGGATGTATAACCATGGGCACAAGATAGAAAGCTTTAATAGTACCAAAGTATAAATGAGAAACAAAAGCTGAGAGCAACATAGGAAAACAGTAAAAAAATAATATACAAGAAATTTAAATACACCAAGAAAAACATAAATACAAGATAATGAAATAAAAGTAAAGAAAAGCAAAAGAAAAGAAGCCAACTAACCTGAGGACCAAATAAATGAAAACATTTTGTTTTTTAAATTTTCATTATTTCAAGTAATTTAATTAGCAAATTGCATCTGGGCTATTAAACATATTAAATTTAATCAGATTAGTAGCAAATTAATTATTGAGATGACACTCCAACCCTACCTCAATGCTACCTTATGTATTGAATGGTTAATACTGATCATCCTACAATGCATCATGGGAAATTTATGTAAAATTAAAAAGCAAAATAGATGAGAGCAGCATCAAACCGACCATCAATTGGATCAGCTTTAATTACAAGTAAATTTTGATAGTTTCAAAATTTGGTCCTTTAGTTAGCTGTAATGATTCTACCTGTAGTTGATATGGTGAATATCTACCAGTGGAAGGCAATGGTGGAGCATATGTATATTGTATTTTGGTGCTACCGCGATAATATGATACCTGAGTAGAGTTGGTCAAATCCAGTCCTGGGTTATGTTGTGGAGTCTGGTATGAACTGTAGGACTCTGAAATCAAAAGAAGAAAAGAATTCAGAACTCACTTTTCATTGATCTACATTCAGACACCATTAGTAACTCACTTATCATTTATCTAATTTTAGACACCATTAGTAATTTAACCTACAT